AAAATACAAAATGGCGGAAACTAAATTTTGTGCTGAACAAATAGAAAAACTTTTTATTGATCTTTATCGATCTTTTGATTGTTTGTTTATGTGATGTGAAATGCAAAGAATATCTAGACATAAATAAAAGAAATAACGCATATGAATCAAAAACAAACTAAATATGTAATAAAAATGTTTCTTCGTAGTAAATGTATATGGAATTCTTAAAATCTTCCCGTCTTTGGTTTACAAATCTTTTAGCAGATTTTCTTCAGTTCCACATCTATGGCGTTCTTGTAAATATTGTATATTTAAATTAAATATTTTTCTATTTAAAAAAAAAACTCAGAAAACTAGTTATAATACGGAAAATAATCATTTTGAATTAGAAATTTTAAGTAATGACACTAAATAGGTGTAAAATACAAGAAATTCATTAGATTTAATGCTTCTATTTCGTTTAGTTTTTCTTATTTTCGTTCTATTTTTCAAACAAGCATTAACAATACTAAACCTACATTTCTTTCTTAAGAGACTCCAGATCCGAGTACTCATAAAGGCAAATGCCGCTTAAAAGGCGTCTTTCTTTAGTATTCATGAAACAATGACTAATTTGGCATTTATGTTTAGAATGTGGCACTTGATGCTTAAGAATAAGAGAAAGAAAGTAAAGTTTAGAATCGCCTAAGAATACTAGTAAATAATGTTATATATTTTAAGTACTTATTGAAATTTGTTTAATATTATTAAAGTTATAAAGAAAAATATCAAAGTCGTTGAATATCAACTAATTTCGGAAGAACGCAAGTTGAACTAACAGGAAAAAGTTCTTGAAATTTACAATATAACCTGATCAGGATAAATCACCAGTCTGCGCTCCCCTCTATTTATTATTACTACCATTGTATCTATAATTGTACCTACTAATTAGATTAGAATATCTATATCTATCCTTATCTCAGGAAATCGAGAAATATTATTTGTACTTTAGTAGGTTTTAGAAGATTGGAGAACATACTTCTATTGTTTAAATACTCGTCAATAATATTCGCGATTTAATTTGGTTTATCGGAACCAATGAACTGTGTTTTTTCGTGACATCATGGATTTTATTAATGCTTCAGTATTTTTATTATGACAAGATTTCTAAGAAAATATGTAAGTATATATAAATAGAAAATATGTAGGTACTTGCGGTTGTTTATTTATAATCAAATTTCTTTTTTTATGAGCGAAATTTTCATAAATACTGCGGTTAATAATGTATATATGTATATTCATACACAAATGGTTATTCGATGATCATTTGCAAGATCTCACACGAAATAGAAACATTAAAAGGTGAATCCCTGTCATCACTAAAATTACACAATGCATCAGCTGCAGTAAATCTAGTCAACAAATTTTAATGCAAAAGGATATATATGTATATATATTTGTTATTTGTAGAATTCACACATAAAGTAGTATCACAGCTTATACAATACAGCTCCACAACTCCGTGTCGGCGTCTTTGATCTGGCGGTCGAGAACCAAGCAAGACGGAATGGTGCTATCTCTGTTAGATTCGAGGGAAAAGTCGGGCCCGGATTAAACAATTTTTTTATTATTGAAAAAATTGAAAACCTTGGCGTAATAAGGTTGGTTACATGCCATATTAAGTAAGTTTTGGGAAATTAAATTTTTAATTTGTTTTAAATCTGTCAAATATAATTAAAAAAATTATTTAAATATAAATATTACGAAAAATAGCACATCTTTCGGATTAGAGGTAAAATAATTTGTATGTGGCTAGTAAAATCCTCGTTAACAAATGTTTTGACCTAAAACAGTCACTTCACGACAAATTGTGTCTTGGATCCTTTTTACACCAAGGGCTTCAATTGTTAAAGAATTTTGTCACGCTCGTGGATGCAAATAAAGTGGTACCCCGTGTGTCTGGCAAGTGTTACTCTTCGCGCAAAGGGTTTATACCTAGATAAACGAAGTTTCGACTAGGGTCTGGGAACTCTATGGTATTTTGGAATTATAAAGAATTTGTGCTTTTATTTTAACAATATTGGTTACATTTAGATGTATTCTTATTAATTGAAATACAGATATGTAGAAGTAATACTTTGACAGTTTTTATTAATATTATATATTCAATTTTTATCTGACCATACCGAAGTAGGGAATTTTGTAACTTTATAATAATGTGAAATTTGAATTACAATATTATACGAAATTACATAATTTGTAGGTACTTATTTTAGGTAGGTACTAAATTTGTACTTGGAGAAAGTAATATCGATTTTTACAAGAAAACTTGAAAAGTAAATTAATTTAGTTCCTATTTCTGATGTAAAACTTAAACCAAGAAAACAAATAAATAGTAGTTTGTTCAACAAGGGTGGGATATGATAGCCATATCACACAAAGACGAAGTTTGAGCACGACGTCGTAGGTGGAGTACTCATTCGTCTGATTGTGATATGAACAATCCACTCGATATGGTCAGTATATTTTTTCTACGACCCATTAACGAAAATCTACAAATTTAAAAAATTATTTTAGGTTATTTAGACAAAATAACTAATATTAAAATAATTTACGAAGTTGACTAATTTATAAAATAAAATAAACATGAAAAATTAATTAGTCCTCGGCCTAGATTCGATCCCGGGCTTTTCGCGTGGAAGGCAGATGCTCTGTCCTCATCTTCACCGAAACTTTCAGGACTTTAGTTTTAATACTCGTAATTAAATTAGTATTATGTAGTTTGATTAAAATTTATTTTTTTTTAAATGTGGACACAATAAAAACAAAAATGCTATTATTTATCGAGTCTACACAAAAATTTTAATGTATATTTAATATCAATAACTAAAATATATATTGACAATTAGTTTAACAGAATTGTCACTTATTTAAAAAATTTTAAATAATAGGAGTTTGGTGACCAAAATATGAAATGTAATTTGTAGATTTAATTTTGTTAAATTGTTTTCACTACCTAAAATGGATATGAAATATATTCGTAGTTGAACGCAATAGCATACTTTTTCGTTTTGTAGTATGTGCGTAGATTGGCTAATATCCATGCACAGATTACAAAACGAAAAAGTATGCTATTGCCTTCAATTGAACGAAAATATTTCATATCCATTCTAGGTAGTGAGAACACTGCAAAAAAAAAATTCGCCAATCGCCGTTCATATTTTGATCGACCGACTGCTATTATTTTTAAAATTTTAAATAAATGACAATTCTGTCAAACTAATTGTCAGTATATTTTTTAGTTATTGAGATTAAACATACATTAAAATGGGTTATTCTTTTGGAAAACGTTAGCATGGATGACTAAAGGGTATTGGGTTAATTAATTCTAAAAGTGTGGTACAAATGTTATTTTTTGTAGCCAATTCTTCAAAATTATTAGGAAATATCTTTTCAATATTGAATATTAGTTCTACAAATTCATCATTTCACAGTTGCAGATTTCCAAATGTATCTGAATTGGCGTTATCATATGCCTTTAAAAAGCAATAAAAAGAAAAATCATCTAATTCAACGTGATCTTTGTTATATTTAGGACAGGTATCACAGGAGTGCATCCGCAAGGCTTTTATTAAAAGGCAACCACATACATACCTGATAAAATTTTTCTGTAGCAACTCGTCTTTACAATAATTTAGAGTGTTAATAATTTCATCATAAAATAAAATACAAGGTGTTCCATTTAAAAAACATACATTTTAATTTGCCAGGCAGAAACGTGACACCCTGTATATCCAAAGATATTTTTAAAATATGTAGGTATTTTTCAAATCCATATAACTTTTATTTAAAACTTTTTTGCGTGTCTACAACAAAATATTGAACAATAACGCATTAATGGGACACCCTGTATGAATTATATTTTTAACAATGAAAATTTCTTATAATGTGGTACTTATCGGTTTGGGTCCTTGGAAAAACTAAAGAATGTTTTCTTGCAGGTATAACCCTTATTAAAACAGCTTTTGACTGCACAAACAGAATTATGTCTTTTTTTTTCACTCATTCTACTTACAGCTAAAGAGTCACCAAAATAATAACAGTACCTTTAACTCAAACAAAATCAACGAAATTATAGGCTCCACGAAATTATACAATCAACGAAATTATACGCACGACTCAACACCTTACCTAAGTACGCTTCTGAACGCCAAAACCGTCTTTTCCCTCCGAAGGCGGAGCTTAAGCGATGCGCGACGAAATCGACGCAAACCGTTGCCGCCAAGAGAGTGTTTTAGCTGTATTGTATAAGCTGTGGTAGTATCTTCCGCCACAAAAGTTTTGCGAAATTTGCACATACGGCATACGGCTTATATGAATGATGTATCTTCTGTATAATTATATGTCGTCTAAATTCAGAAATTTACAGTAAAGCAGTATCTTCTGCAAGCTAAAAATCAATTAAATTATAAAGAAAAACATTCTCAAACCTGTACTAGTATAAGATTTATTGAGTTAACACATCAAGTACATGCAGTCCTCTCTCTGTACATGTCTTTGTCTATAATACAGAATTTACACATAAAGTAGTATCTTCTACAAGCTAAAAATCAGTTAAATAAAAGGAAAAAATATTATTTTCCTACCTGTGCCCTGAATTTCCTCATTTCTTTTTCAATTTATCATATTTCTAAGACGATTTGCGTTTTCGATAGTTTTTACCCATGTTTTTATAATCACTGGAATGTAGTCGGTCTGAACGATGTGAATCACGCAACACACATATTGGTAATGAGTAATTTAGGCAGGGAGCGATAGAGGATAACATAAAATTTTAAATCTGAAAATGTGGGTCAGCGGCGTAACATAGGTATACTACATAATTATCTTTATTTCCACTAACAAAGATGTGAAGCATAATTTTGGCAGATTTTATGATATTTTAGAGTACAATTTATTATTTTATAGTAATAACTAATTTGATGCTTAAACTTTGTAAGACATTGAAAAGATCTAACATATATTTTCTTTATTTCCAGACTCTCCCAAGAAGCGGAGAAAACGGCAACATCAAATTCAAACATCTCCAACACACACCATCTCTGAAGGCTCTTAAGACTTACAACGATTTAGCTGTAGAAGGAAATTTTCAAAGTGATATAGATTTACGATTGTACACACCACAAAAATACGATGCGGGTAGCGTTTCTAGATTATCCGTTGGTAGCGATATCAAATCGAATGATCAAAATTTGTACGAATACATTAGGACAGGGACGATGTCGGTTGCCTCTGGATCGGATTTTAATTCGGAAATCAACGAAATGGGTTCCACGGCGAAGTTGGTTCCTTCTAAAATGGAACAAGTAAGTTCATTATTATTATTATAATTTTTTATTATTAGGTATTCAAAGTGAAGATTGTTGGCTGTATATACGCGCTGGGTAGATATAGTCACAAGAATAAATAATAACCAGAAGGATATCTCTCATTTAATTCCTTTGTAATTGATGCCGACGAACTATGACCTCGTCTTTTATAGTCTATATTTATGTATGAGAGAGTAATAAAACAGCATTTCTAATGCAAAACTTAGTACGGTCATTTTAAATATTTTTACAGAATAATTTAAATATTTCCTAAAATTGTAATAAATGTACCTGAGCTATTACAAGTTTTGGGTCTTTTATTGGTCCTTTATAAACGTAAGCTGTACAGAACAATAGAAAAAGGTTTGGAAGCCCTTTGTATTAAAGATTACATAGCCGTATCTTAAGATTATTTTCAATAAGTACCTATTTGCCAATTTTGTTTTATTTTAATTCCAAGAATTTCTTACAGTAATCGAATTATAAGTAGATAAATACCTTCCCAACAAATTTCGCCGAAAATGCGATTATAGGTTTTCCATTTAGTAAGGAGATCCAAGTTGTGTATTCTTGACATTTTACTAAATGTCGTTTAGTTGCAACTTGCAAGGTGCAGTGTGAATTCTAGTGTGATCATGGAAAATTTGGAAGGGCCGTGTAAACGAAAAAAAAATCGGTCCTTTAACAGTTAATGAAAAAACATTAATATTTAATTGTTTAAAATCATTTACAGACAAACATTTATGTAAAAGTGTTGATGACACAGTGGAATTAGTAGTACGCTTGGTGTTGGGAAATCTACGATTTACAGAGTTGTTAAAGAAGAGAAATGTGGCGAGTTTCAAACAGCACGTAAAGCTCCAGGAAAACCAAAATTTCAATTAGAAAATCTTTTGAAAGAAAGACTTCGAAGGAAAGTGCATGCGTTCTTCTATAGAAAAGAATTTCCGACAGTACACAAAGTTCTTGCCACGGTTCGAGATGATAAGGATTACCCTGAAATGAGTCGAAGCACACTATGGAAACTTTTAAAAGAAATAGGTTTTCTATGGAAAAAGCATTCCAGAGAGTCTACTTTAATAGAAAAAAGCGATATTGTAGTATGGAGAAGAAATTACCTAAGGACTATAAAAGAAATGAGAAACCAAAGAAGAAATATATTTTATTTAGATGAAACATGGATCAACGAGGGACATAAACCAAATAAATTTTGGCAAGATGAAACTGTTACAAGTCGAAGACAGGCTTTTTTAAATAATTTATCTACTGGTTTAAATTCACCATCAGGAAAGAGGCGCAGACTAATAATAGTACACATCGGTAGTTCAAACAGTTTTGTTAAAGGTGGTTTGTTGACTTTTGAATCTACTCGTACCGGTGACTACCATGAGGACATGAATGCTGATGTCTTTAAAGAGTGGTTCGAACACATTATAGATCTTCTTCCTCAGAACTGTATAATAGTAATGGATAATGCAAGTTATCACTCGAGACTTATAGAAAAAATGCCCACAACCAAGTGGTTAAAAAAAGATTTACAGAATTGGCTAAATTCAAAGAATATTAAGTTCCATCCCGGTTCTGTGAGAAAAGAACTGGTATCATTTGTGTTCCTTTCATAAAGAGAAATTCAAAAAATATGAAATTGATGAAATTGCAAAAAATCGTGGGATGACGGTGGTTAGATCACCACCATATCATTGCGAAGTAAACCCGATTGAACTGATATGGGCACAGATAAAGGGAGAAGTTTCAAGAAAAAATAATTCTTTTAAAATGAGTGATGTTAAACAGTTGTTTTTGGAGGCTGTAAATAATGTGAAGCCTGAAAAATGGGAAAAGACAGTAAATCATACGATTAAAGAAGAAAAGAAAATGTGGAAGTTGGACAATATTACTGATGAAATGATCGAGCCACTCATTGTAAATATTGGTTGCGACAGTTCATCTTCTGATTTCGATTCTGATTTGGATTTGTAGGTAAGAAGTAGTTTTTATATTAAAATTATTATTTATGAACATAACGTTGTTTAAAAGTCAAAGTTACTTACTTATACCTACATAACCCGTTTGACACAATGTTCTTAACATACCTTGTGGAAAAATAAAACATTTTAGAAAAAATTGCACTTTTTTACCTGCAGCTGTTTAGAAGTTGTAAGCAGGTTAATTATGTGAAAATATAAGTGTATACTCGATGAAGAACTTCAAAAAATATTTTAACTGTCTACTAAAAGAAGTGCTACGCCTATGGATTACGAACGCTTTATTATTTTAATACTCTCTCATACATAAAAATAGACTATACAAAGGAATTAAATGCGAGATATCCTTCTGGTTATTATTTATTCGTGTGGTTTTACTATAAATATGACAAATCAGTTGATTGTATTTCGTGCAGCAAGTCGGTTCCGGAGATGCCCACGACTCTCCACCGATGTTAAAATTCTTCTATTAAAATAAATGCTTAAAAGAAAATTTTTATTGGCAATACCACCCCTTGATTCATTTTCAGGAAATGTTTTTTAAATATATGTTTTATGACTCTACTTATAACTTTTTTCGGTGGAACAACTTGCATTTTCTGATACAGTATGTCCAAATTATTATAATTATAGATCTTTATCTCTATCTTTCACTACATTCAACAGGAGGTAAATTTTTTCTAAAAAAATTATAAAATATTTACAATATAATATACAATATGTTTGGAATTTTGTATAATAGTTATTTATGCAACAAGTGAAATAATTTTTTTTACGTTCATGCAAAAAACAAAACTTTATTGAACTATATTTAGTGAAAAAACTGTTTCTTTATTGCACTAGTGCAATAAAAAATTTATTGCACTCATCTGTCATTTTACTACAGCGTTTTATGATCATGACAAACATAAATATTCAAATCGACACCAAATATTTAGTCCATTTTCATTTTCTGTGAGATAGTATTACGTTTAAAAAAATATTAATACTGAAAATTGTACAAATTGTCCATTTACTTTTAGTATTAGTGGCAAAAACAACGTTTAATTATTGTTCATAACACAGTTGTTCCTAAAGTTTTGGTTAAAGTATTTTTCTTAACATAGTTATAGTACTTTTTCAATGTTAATCGATGCTAATTATTAGTTATTAAATATGTTGCTATTAAATTACGCTTTTTATTCTTCTGCACTTAGTGTTGCTTAAATAAAACATTTTTTGGTTTTTGCATGAACGTAGAAAAATTATTAGTAAATTGGCAAAGTACTTTTGGCTTTCACCATTCTCATTGCTCTAGCCATAACTTAAGTGATGCCAAGAAAGGCTACACCAATAAATTTGCGACTAAGCGAGATGGACCTTATATTATTTCCACCACACCTGCTTCATATGAACTTTTCAAAATATATAAGAAATTCCTTGGAGCAGATTATATTTTCATCAAATGTTTCCTTTCCAGGGAACACTAACATAAATTATGAGCTAGAATTGATATTTAATCCTTTCTTCCTATTTTTTTTGTTGTTGATTCGTTTTATAACCTATTCTTTTAAATATTTACGTATTTTTTACGTAGAAATATGATTTTGAAGTATTCTTACTATTATTACAGATTTTATTAACGTATTTCAATAACAATAAATTGATTTATAGATTAGATATCTCTGGGCCGATTATTTATCATAATTCATTTATTATGAACTGAGCAAATTGGAATCAATCAATCGAACAGTTGAGAATTAAAAGATATAACAAAATGCACATATTAGTGGCATTAGCATTAGAAAATTTATTTACATGTTAAAAATAAAATATATGTACAACTTTGTGATAAAATAAAAATACAATTCCCGGAGGATTTCACAGTTACCTGCTGGGCCTATGGTGATACTTTCACCTATTTTACAAGAAGTCGTTTATGAGTTATGACTAGGTAAATATAGCAGCCCTTACTCCTTGCCAGGGAGGCATTATTGAGGGGTTGTGGCGTTTTTGAAGTCAGTAATTGTCATTGTTTAAAGATTTGTCGTGGATTAATTTGGTCTTTGTCCTCTGAACATATTAGTGGTAATTCTATAACGAATATATTAAAAATATAACGTATGTTAAATATGAAAAGCAATTCTGTAAATTCATGGAAAATTTTAATTTGTCATAATTAACATAATATAGTTAATTTGTGTCGCAAAAAATCTATTCTATAAGCAGAAATATGTTTAAAATTTAACATAAATGTTATTTTATGCGGTATATCGTGGATATTAACGGGTACTAATTAGTAGGGTTTAAAACTTAACATATAAGAAATTATGAATGTTTATTTCAAATTATGCAAGAAAATCATGAAAATTGAATTATTTTGGAAATTACTCCAGTAATTTTAACAGTCAAAATTATATTTATAGAGTACATAGGTTTATTTGTAGTTAGAAATTGATTTACCGTAGAAGAGTACTATTATAATGTTACTGGAGATAGTTTTGTTTCTATTTAAAACCGATGGCGTACCAAATAGTTTATAAAGTATATTTGGCCGTTACTTTTTCAATATTCGTGTGCAAAAACCTTAGAACAGTGGTTGCCAACCTGTCGATCGCGAGCTACCGGTAGCTCGCGGAGGCAATTCTGGTAACTCTCACAACGATTTTAATTTAAAAAATACAAACTGCAAAAATCAGAGAAGCTTCCGAAAATTCCACAAAAAAATCTACTTGTCATAATATTAAACATAAACAGCGGCAACGATGCGCTGACGCCATCAAGCTAGAATCGGCTAGAACCGACCAGCCGGACCAGCGCGTTAGTGTTCGAGAACGATCAGGATTGCTTTGAACGGGATAAATACGTACGGCGCGGCGACATTGCGCTTAGTTTAAAACTGAACGCGTAACCAACGTCCAGCGGTTGGGTTAGTAGAGAACAACAAAAAATAATATTATGGCAAGCAGTTGTAAGAAGGTAAAGACATACCACTTTCATTCGGAATGGGAAGAACAATACTTTTTTACAGAA